CCCTACAGTCCCTACGAGCCCAGCCCAACCTCAACCCGCGACAAATACGGTGGCTGGATTACATGGAGAGCCACTTCACCTACCGCATCACGTACAAGAAAGGGGCGAATAACATCGCCGACGCCCTGACCCGACCAACAGTACAATCCGCTACAGTACTCATTACCTATTCGAACCCATTACTTACCGGACTATTCACCCACGGCTACACTACGGACCCGTTCTTCACGACCAGGAATCACCAGCAGGCCACGACGCAGAAAGGGGATTATTACCTAAAAGCCGGAACCTGACCGGATTTGGGTTCCCGCTTACAGGCTGCTGCGTGAACTCCTTATCCAAGAGGTCCACGATTCGAACTTCTCCGGACACTTTCGGGTTGATAAAACCCAGAAAATTACTGCACCGTCAATATTACCGGCCTGACTCCTCTAACGACGTGCAGCGATATGTGTCCTCATGCAGGGTGTGCCAAGCCATGAAATCAACACGTCAACGACTAGCTGGGCTGCTGCAACCCCTCGAGCCACCCGAACGACCGTGGCAGCAAGTGACAATGGATTTCGTCACGGGGATGCCAGCTGGGCCGTCCGGCAACAACGCAGTGTCAAAATGTTATTGTATACATCACTTTATAACTACCTGCAATGTAGACTTAGTGTAGTTATCTTGCTTGTTAGGTGGTGCACCTTGCTTAACTTCTTTCATATTTGTACCCTTGAACTTATAGTGAAACCATCATTCTTCCTTCTCGACTTTCCTCACCCAAAATTCTCTCGACACTCACTAGCCATGGCTCCTAAGTCATGCTAGCATTCTAACATGGTATTAAGAGCAATAGTTCCTAGGACCTCACATTAATGGGCCCACCACCTAATGCCCTGCTAGCCTAGGCCCCGGCCCGTCGCTCCTTGGCGTCGCCCCTAGCCCCCAGGCTCGGCCCCTTGGCCCCGTCGCCCCTAGCTCGGCCCCTCGGCCCCGCTGGCCCCGTCGATTCCGTCGCCCGCGCCCGGCCCGTCTCTAGCCCGCGATCGGCCCGTACCTAGCCCACGCCCGGCCCCGTCTCGCGCCCGCGCCCGACCCGTACCTAGCCCGCGATCGGCCCGTTCCTAGCCCTACGCCCGGCCCGTACCTAGCCCGCGACAGGCCCGTGCCTAGCCCGCGCTCGGCCACGTCTTACGCCTGCGCCCGGGCCCGTCTCTTGCCCGCGCCCGGCCCGTACCTAGCCCGCGCGTGGCCTCGTACCTAGCCCGCGCCCGGCCCCGTACTTAGCCCGCGCCCCGGCCCCGTACCTGCCCAGCGCCCGGCCCCGTACCTACCCAACGCCCGGCCCCGTACCTACCCAGAGCCCGGCCCCGTACCTGCCCAGCGCCCGGCCCCATACCTGCCCAGCGCCCGGCCCCGTACCTGCCCAACGCCCGGCCCCATACCTGCCCAGCACCCGGCCCCGTCCCTAGCCCAGCACCTGGCCCCGTATCTGCCCAGCGCCCGGCCCCGTTCCTAGCCATGGCCCCGTCGCCCCTAGCCATGGCCCCTCTCGACCTGCCGCCCCTAACCGCGGCCCCGGTGCCCTGTTGCAACATGGTGGGTGAGGGGGTGGCAAGAAGGGGTTCCTCCTGCCCGCGTGCCCTACAGTCGCACGCGCAGCTCCGCCCCCGCCCCCCTCCCCCCCCTCCCCCCCCTCCATGGGGATGGCGGGGAGAGGGTGTGAGGGGGTGGCGGATGTGCCTCAGCAACAGCAGCAGCCGCCCCTGGAGCAGCCCGCACCTGCAGCAGCCGCCCCTGGAGCAGCCAGCAACTGCAGCAGCCGCCCCTGGAGCAGCCCGCACCTGCAGCAGCCGCCCCTGGAGCAGCCCTCACCTGCAGCAGCCGCCCCTGGAGCAGCCAGCAACTGCAGCAGCCGCCCCTGGAGCAGCCCGCAACTGCAGCAGCCGCCCCTGGAGCAGCCCGCACCTGCAGCAGCCGCCCTGGAGCAGCCAGCAACTGCAGCAGCCGCCCCTGGAGCAGCCCGCACCTGCAGCAGCCGCCCCTGGAGCAGCCCTCACCTGCAGCAGCCGCCCCTGGAGCAGCCAGCAACTGCAGCAGCCGCCCCTGGAGCAGCCCGCAACTGCAACAGCCGCCCCTGGAGCAGCCCGCACCTGCAACAGCCGCCCCTGGAGCAGCCCTCACCTGCAGCAGCCGCCCCTGGAGCAGCCTGCACCTGCAGCAGCCGCCCCTGGAGCAGCCCTCAACCGCAGCAGCCGCCCCTGGAGCAGCCCGCACCTGCAGCAGCCGCCCCTGGAGCAGCCAGCAACTGCAGCAGCCGCCCCTGGAGCAGCCCGCACCTGCAACGGCCGCCCCTGGAGCAGCCCGCACCTGCAGCCCGTCCCGTTCCCCCCCCCCCCGTGCATTCCGTGGTGCTGGGGGTGTGGGGTGCCGAGCATGGGGGTGGCGGGTATGGGGGTGGCGGTTATGTGTTCCTCCCCTTGCTCCTCCTCCTCCCTCGTCTCCCACTGCTGCAGCTGTCGCTGAGGGGGGTGGGTGTGTGGGAGCCTAGGGTTTAGGGTTTAAGGGGGGTGCTGTGGGAGTGGAGCTAGGGTTTGAACAGGGAGTGTGTGAGAGGGGAGTGGGGCAGCTGGGGGAGGTTGTGTGAAGGTAGCTGTCATGTCGCCTGCAGCGCCTGTAGTCCGTCGCCCTTGCTTCGGTAGCCAATGAGCCTGTTGCACCAGTCGCCAGTGGGTCCGTTGCTCCTGCCGCTCGTCTATAGCCGCGGAGCCAGTCACTCCAGTAGTCCGTCGCCCTTGCTTCGGTAGCCACTGAGTCAGCCGCTCCTGTGCCCGTGCCTCTGCAGCTTCAGTCGTTGCCTCGCATCTTCTCTTCCTCCACAGTCTCTCCTCCTCATTTGCCTTCTCCGTCTGCTGCGCTCTGCTTGGTGTACCCCTTCCGGGGGTGTTTCTGCACATGGTTCTTCACTGCAGGCAGTTAGGGGGTGTGTCAGAATGTTATTGTATACATCACTTTATAACTACCTGCAATGTAGACTTAGTGTAGTTATCTTGCTTGTTAGGTGGTGCACTTTGCTTCACTTCTTTCATATTTGTACCCTTGAACCTATAGTGAAACCATCATTCTTCCTTCTCGACTTTCCTCACCCGAAATTCTCTCGACACTCACTAGCCATGGCTCCCAAGTCATGCTAGCATTCTCACACGCTGTGCTCGTCGTCGTCGATCGCTTCACAAAAATGGTGCATTTTGCCGCATGCCAAACGACAATCACAGCCGAAGAAACTGCGCGCTTCTTCATCTCAACGGTCGTGCGACTGCACGGCATCCCTTCGGCGATCATCAGCGACAGAGACCCGAAGTTCACATCAAAATTCTGGAAGGAGACATGGGCGCAGTACGGCACGAAGCTACAGTTCTCATCGGCATATCACCCACAGACGGACGGCCAGACCGAGCGGACCAATGAGACCATGGAGAATCTGATCAGGATAAACTGCCTCGACCCTGCTCGCTGGGAAGAATCTCTCGCAATGTTGGAGTTCGCTTTCAACAACGCGCCGTCAAGCACGACTAATCACTCCCCGTTTTCCCTAAATTACGGAATGGACCCGACGGTTCCTACGGCAACTGCACTCGACAACCCGGTCCCGCGATCACAGACTTTTGTGACAGAACTTCAGGAAGTACGAGAAAAAGCCGCCGACGCAATTCACAAGGCGAATATCACTTCCCGCAAATACACCGACCTTCTACGCCGGGAACTCGTCTTGACCACTGGGCAGCTAGTGCTACTTGACATGAAGAACCTACACCTGCCCGGCCCGTTGAAACTACGGCCACGATTTTGTGGACCCTTCAAAATTATCAAGATGGTGATACCTGTCATCGCGAAGCTGCTGCTACCCGACGACTGGCGCATTCATGACGCCTTCCACGTCAGCCTGCTTCGGAAGTTCGTGCCAGCCACGACCGACATCGCGAGGCAACAAGCTGCCCCAACTGCACGACCTGTCCCAGAGCCGACTCTCGAACCTTCGAAGATTCTGGCACATCGGGTTCGCCTTGACGCAGCTGGTCGCCACGTGGATTTCTTCATCCGTTGGACTGACTGCACCAGTGAAGATGATACGTGGGTGCATTCCGACTCGCTTGACGCCTCGTCACTTGTTCGTGATTATTTGGCGGGCAGGCGTGTTTCAGATATTGACCACCTTTCTTAAGGGGGGGGGGGGGGGGGGGGGGGGGGGTAGTGTAAGGAATTTTCCAGAATTCCTTATCGGGGTTGACTGCTACGCGTACAGCCTGATTTTCGGACTTTGCACGTTCGGCCGATTTCAACGCTGCCGAGGCTCCTCGCGTCGCCTTCGGCATTTCCCATCGCCAAACCTGCACCCCAACCTCGCTCGTCCGAGGTTTCCTCCTAGCTAGGCCAGCCCCTACATTAGTGTGTTCCTTCATTGTATTCTCATATCAGTTAATCAGAGTCTCGTTATTTGTTTACGTGCGCACTCTCTTTTACAACTCATAACATCCACCTTGTTAGAAGTTAGATTCCAAGTGCAACACCAGGGCAGAGAAGCATGTTTTGTTTGCAAACACGACCCAGCCTCTAGGACCTTCTAGAACAATTTCAGTGAGGAGAGCATGCAACCGATCTGAACCGATGTTTATTTTTCTAGCCACTTCGAGAACAACACCACGATCAATCCCCCCACACTCAGCACACCGCGTCCCTTTCCCCAGCATTGCGCTCCGATTCCGTATTAGGGTATTGTAGAAGCTGTCCGCGTCGTGTTCTTAGGACTTACCCGCCGTCACGTCGCCGGTTCCGATTCCTCTCCGCAGCTCCCGCTCTCACCCAACCTTGTGAATCCGTTCTAATCTCACCGCGCTCAACCAACCTCGTCCACGCGCGATTCGCTCCGCAGCGCCAGTGTCGACCGCACCGCGCGAAAACCGAAGCCACTCCGCCGCAAGCAGGAGGGCGCTCGGTTTCGCAGGCAATTTATCGCGATGGGCGGGAAATGGGGCGCGATCTCGAAGCTGCACGCGTTTCCCAAAGCCGAGGACCACCTCACGCAGAAGACGCTGTCGGGCGCCATCGGTACGTACAGCGCCTTGGCATGTCAAAAAGGCTTTGAGGCTTCCATACGTGGGGCTGAGGCTCAGGTACTTCCAGGGCAGTGTGCCGCGCACGTGCTCCCCAACCAAGCCCAAGGCGGAGGACCACCTCGCGCAGAAGACGGTGTCGGGCGCCATCGGTACGCAACGCAGGCAGTGCGGATTGTAGCATTGTTACGCTCGATTGGAGTGTCGTCAATGAGGCTTGAGCCCTCCATACATACGGTTGGGGTCAGCTGTCCCCAGGTCAGGTGTGCCACGCACTTGTTCCCCAAGGCGGAGGACCGCCTCTTTGACAAGACGCTGTCGGTACGTACCGAGGGGTGCGTACTGAGACACCCTCGGTACGTGCGGCACCATCCCTTGGAGCTATGGGTCAGGTATTTCAAGGGCAGCTGTGGCGACTGACGGCGTTCCCCAAGGCGGAGGGCCGCCTCTTTGAGAAGACGCTGCCGGTACGCACCGAGACGTCCTCGGTACGGACGGCACCATTGCCGCAGGGCCCCCAGCCAGGGCATCGCGTAAGATTCCCCAGGGCTCTCCCACCCCACCCCTCTCATAACTTGTCTTACACCGCTCTCGTTCAATACCAGCCACCCAGCCAGGCGGTGCAATCGCTACCTCCCCTTCCTTCCCCCCTTTCCTTGCCTGATTCTTTCCACAATCACTTCTCGCCAGTGACTCTGGTAGGCGTGGCAATCAAATTACCAGCCCCCTTTCCTTCTTCCGCTCTCCATCCCCCCCACTCCCCTCCGCCTCCGTTTCTCCCCATCCTCGTGTCTCTCTCTACAGTTACCCCCATGTGCACAGTGGCTCTTGGTGCTCACTCACTCCTCGTATGCTCTCCACAATTCCGCACCCTTTACCTCCCATCCCATCCTCCCTCCGATCCTCCCTCCCATCCCCCCCCACCCACCCACCGTGACTCTGCTTGGTGTGGCGATCATGGTGGTGCTGTTCGCTCACGAGCTGTCCTTAGAGCTCAAACTCACCCCCCACTCGCCCCGCCCCTACCCCCCTCCCTTCCCCCCTTCCTCCTCCCCTTACGTGCACAGTGACTCTCCTGGGAGTGGCGATCATGGTGGTGCTGTTTGCACACGAGCTCTCCTTTGTGCTGACGCCTGAGGTGCATGAGGAGGTGAGTGCGTGGTGTGGTGGAATGGAATGGAGTGATTAGCCTGCTCACATGCACTCATGCTCACATGCACTCATGCTCACATCTGCTCACATTCGCCCACGAGCTCTCCTTCGTGCTCACACCGGAGGTGCATGAGGAGGTGCGTGCGTGCTGGAATGGAGTGAATGACCAGCATTCTCTCACATCACATGCACTCATGCTCACGTTCACGCATGCTCACGTTCACGCATGCTCACATTCACCCACAAGCTGTCCTTTGTGCTCACACCTGCCTGAGGTGCATGAGGAGGTGATTGACTTTGTTCCGAGCAAACAGCAAGGCGAGTAAATCTTGCGTCCGTGCTCCCTCCCTCCCCTCCCCTCCCTCCCTCCCGCCCCCTCCCTCCCCTCCTCTCCCTTCCCGCCTCTCCCCTTCCCATTGTCCCACAGATGGCAGTGGACAAGACATCAAGGGACGAGAAGCCCGATGTGTATCTCATATCTCCCCTCCCTGCCCTCCCCTCCTCTCCCCTCCCTCCCATGCTCCCGTTCTCCCCTTCCCCTGCACCCCACCCACCCCACAGATGGCAGTGGACAAGACGCCAAGGGATGAGAAGCTAGACGTCTATCTCAACATCTCCTTCCCCTCGCTGCCCTGCAATGGTGAGCTCACCGGCATCCCCCGCCCGCCTCCTTTTCCACCCACCTACCTGTCCTCGTCCCTCTCTCTCTCACCTCCACCGGTTCCTCCTCTCCTCCTTCCTTCTCTCCTCCTTCCTCCTCTCCTCCTTCCTCCTCTCCTCCTTCCTCTCCATTCCTTTCGTTAATGCCTTCCCCTGTCAATGTCCTTTCCTCCTGCTTTGAATCGGTATGCTCGCAACTTCTCCTCCCCTCCCCTCCCATCCCATCCCGGCCATCCCCATCCCTCTCTCCTCCCCTCCCTCCCGTCGTCTCCACTCCACTCTTTGTGCGTCCCCTGTCCTGTTTCGCGCTTGCAAGTTCGCGTTTCCGGTGCATGCCGTCATCGTGAATTATCTCAAGTGCGTGGGTGCATGTATATGATGTGGGGGAGGGGGGGGGTGGGGGTGGGTGGGGGGGGGGGAGCTTGTGGGTGCGTGTGTGTGTGAGTGTGTGGGCGTGTGCGTGCGTGTGTGCATGTGTGTGTGTGTGTGTGTGTGTGTGTGTGTGTGGCACACAGTGATCAGTCTCGATGCTCTGGACATGTCGGGCAACCATGAGGTGGACATCGCAACCAACATGTACAAGGTAGGTTTCTCTTAACGAGTATAAGGTATAACGATGCTTTTTCTCATGACTACAAGGGATAACGAGGCCTCACTTAACGAGTACAAGGTATAACGAGGCTTCTCTCTTGTACACGTTATAACAAAGCACCCTGCGACTCTCACTGTTTTGTTATGCTACCATTGAGGGACGCTCGATCGAGGGAGTGCATGCAATGGAAACGTCTGCAACGCGTCGCACACCATGGCTTGGCAATGCTGTGCTGTGCTGTGCTGTTCGTCCTTCTATATTTCGCCCTTCTTTGAGGCGCCTCAAAAATCGCCTCGCACACCATGGCTTGGCAATGCTGTGTTGTGCTGTGCTGTGCTGATCGTCCTTCTATTCCAACCATATTTCGCCGTTCTTCCTGCACCCATCTTCCCCTTCCAGTGCCACCCCACCGTGCCGCCCACCCACCACCCTGCCGCCCACCCACCCTCTCCCCTTCCCTCCCACCCATGCATCGCATCATGCCACATTTGCCCTTGACTGAATGGCCACTCGTCTGCTGTTCACTAGCAGCATGTCTATCCCGTTACCGTACCTCGGGCTTCCACACCCCACCCGGACATTCTCCGCTCGCGTTTCCCTTGCTGTCTATTATGTTGAGTTTCAAGGCGCCTCGAAAACAGACCCTTTCATTGCATATCCCTCCCATGCTATCACATCCTCTCTACTTTTGAGGCGCCTCGAAAACAGACCCTTCCATTGCATATCCCTCCCATGCTATCACATCCTCTCTACTTTTTAGGCGCCTTGAAAACTGACCCTTCCATTCCATATCTCTCCCATGCTATATTATCCTCTCTGCTTTTGAGGCGCCTCAAAAGATAGACCCTTCCATTCCATATCCCTCCCATGCTATATTATCCTCTCTGCTTTCTATCGAATCCGTTTCGACAACCACGCCACGCTTTTGAGTATTTGCCAAGCGACTGCCATGGGGCGCACAGATGGGGCCCTTAAAGCCACCGTGAGTCCGCCACCTGTGTGCTCAGCTCACTCCTACCCTCCCGTCGAACCTCCCGTCCCCTCCCCTCCCTCCCCATCCCTTCTCCCTTCTCTTCCTCCTCTTCCTCCTCTTCCTCCACTTCCTCCTCTCCCCCCTCTCCCTCCTCTCTCTCCTCTCCCTCCTCTCTCTCCTCTCCCTCCTCTCCTTCCTCTCAGGTCCTTTCGACCTGCCTGGACCGCCATGGCCAGATGGCTCGTTCATTGTGCCTCAAGACCCCCCTCCACCGCCCTCTCTTCCCCATCCCCTCCCCTCCCTCTCCGCCCTGCCGCCCATCCGATCCGTCTGGACCGCCATGGCCGGTTGGCAGACTCGCGGTGGCTCAAGGACCCCCTCCCCTTCCCCCCCTTCCCCCCCCCCCCCTCCCCCCCCCCCTTCTTCTGTCTCCCCCTCCTTCCTCCCCCCCCCCCCCTTCCCCCTCCCTTCTCTCACCCCCTTCTCCCCCATCAGATCCGTCTGGACCGCCATGGTCAGTTGGCAGACTCACGCTGGCTCAAGGACCCCACAGGGGCGTGGCGGCAAAGCAAGAGCAAGAAGCGCAAAGGTGAGGCTCGCCACTTCGGGGTTGGAGGCTTGGGACCAGAGGCTTGGGACCAGAGGCTTGGGACCAGAGGCTTGGGACCAGAGGCTTGGGGGAACAACTAGGGGCAGGTTTGCAATCGCTCAAGGACCCCATGGAGGCAGAGCGAGGCCAAGAAGCGCCACGTTGGGAGCTGGGGCTGCTGCGGTGCGGACGTGTGGTGTGGTGTGGTTGGCTCTGTTGCGGAATCTCTTTCTTGCCAACGGGCAGGCACACATGCGCTATGACTGAGGCAAGTCATGCACAGAGGTGATTTTTGATTTGAGTGCGCCTCGAAAATCACCCCAACGGGCAGGCACACGTGTGCTATGACTGAGGCAAGTCATCCACAGACAAATTTTCCTTCCCTTCCCCATTCCCCTCTTACCACAGTCCACATGCATGGTAAATTCCCCACGCTCCACCATTGGCAAGCACACGGGAATGGGCAGGGCAGGTACACATGTGTCATGCATGCATAGAATCGCCTCCTTCTCCCCTTTCCCTTCCCCTCTTACCAGAGGCTACACGCATGGTGAATCCCCCACGCCCCACCATGGGCATGCGCAAGCGCATGGGTACGGGCAAGCACACGTGAATGGGCAGGCACACGAGGTGTGGGGGCATGTGCATGCACTTGTGCACACGTGAATGTGCATGCACTGAATGCACGCCTCCCTTCCCTTTTACACTCTTCTTCCCCACCACAGGGCCACATGCACGGTACATCCCCCACGCCCCGCCATGGGGATGGGCACGCGCACGAGTATGGGCAGGCGCATGGGTGCTATATTTGAGGCAACTCATGCATTGGCTCTCTTTACCCTTCCCCTATTCCCACACACTGGCCACTCGCATGGTAAATCCCCCACGCCCCACCATGGGCATGGGCACGCGCACACAGGTACGGGCAGGCATCGCACACGTGGTGCATGTGTTGTGCATGGCAAACCAACACCCTTTTCGCCTTTTTCTTCCCCACCACAGGCCACTCGCATGGTAAATCCCCCACGCCCCACCATGGGCACGGGCACGCGCACGGGTACGGACAGGCACACGCGGCAGGGGGACATAAGGGGAAGGCGGGGGAGGAGGGTGAAGAGGAGGAGGAGGAGGGGGACGAGGTGGTGGGGCTGGAGCAGATGGTGCTGGACGTGCAGAAGGCCATGGCTGCTGGGGAAGGGTGCCAGGTAGTGTGGGAAGGGGGGTAGGTGTGTGTGGGGGAAGGGTTGGCAGGTGCGTGTGTGTGGGGGATGGCAGGTGTGTGTGTGAGAGGGGGTGGCAGTTGTGTGTATGAGAGCATTCAGTTGTGGTACTCTGCTGCTGCCTCCACTGCCTCTGCCACCTCTGCCACCTCTGCCACCTCTGCCACCTCTGCTGCCTCTGCCACCTCTGCCACCTCTGCTGCCTCTGCCGCCTCTGCTACCTCCACTGCCTATGCGTGCTCTTATTTTCACCCCCAGTGACTCCGCTCTCCTCTTCCTTCTCCGTTTCTGCTCCCCCCTTCACCATTCCCCTTTCCACCCCCTATCTTTCTTTCCCCACATTGCCTTTTTCTTCACTTCACTCTACGCTCTGCTCCCTCTTCCCTGCGCCCTGTTCCCTCTTCCCTGCGCCCTCTTCTCTCCAGCTGTCAGTGGAGAGAGCGATGGGCAACTTCCATGTCTCGGTGCACGTGCGGTGGGCCTTTTGCCTTTCCCCGCACTCCCTCTTCTCTGCTCCCTGTTCCCTGCACCGCCTTCCCAGCTACACAGCCATCTGTCAGTGGAGAGGCTGGTGGGCAACTTCCACGTATCGGTGCTCATGTGGTGTGCCCTCTCATGTGGTGTGCCCTCTCATGTGGTGTGCCCTCTCATGTGGTGTGCCCTCTCATGTGGTGTGCCCACTCATGTGGTGTGCCCTCTTGTTTTTCCCCTCACTCCCTGCTCCGTGCTCCTTGCTCCCTGTGCCCTTTCTCCAGCTATATACGGCCATCTGTCGGTGGAGAGGGTGGCAGGCAACTTCCATCCCAGCTCCCTCACCTTTCTCTTCACTCCCTGCTACCTCTTCCCTCTCCTCCATACCTCCTTCCTACCTCTCTCGCCAGCTGTACGGCCATCTGTCAGTGGAGAGGGTGGCGGGCAACTTCCATGTATCGGTGCACGGCCAGTCTTACCTCGTGCTGCAGCAGGTACGATGCGGTTGTGTGTGGTGAGGTGGGATTGATGCAGCAGGTGCAGCACGCATCAATCAACTTCCACGTATCGGTGCACGGCCAGTCCGACCTCGTGCTGCAGCAGGTGAGCTGCTGCCTGCTGCCTGGTGAGGTGCTTGGCTGCTATGTGCTGCCCTCATTCTCGTATGCATCAATCAACTTCCATGTATCGCTGCACGGCCAGTCCTTCCTCGTGCTGCAGCAGGTAATCTGGGTTGCTTGCTTGGTGCTGAAGCAGCAGGTGTGTTGCGTGGTGCGACCTGGACGCAAGCAGCTCATGCTCTAATGCCAATTCACTCAGCACCACTTGTCCCCACTCCATTTCAACTCGGCCTTCTTCCCGCCCTCACCTCTCCCCCTCCTCTTCCCAAGTAGTCTTCTCTGCAGTGTGCAAGGTGGTGTGAAGTAGGTATGAGCAGCCCGCCGAACCGCGGTTCAGTTCGGCGCAGCTCGGGTCGGTAATCAACGAACCAAATTGTTGTTGTTGTTGTTGTTGTTGTTTTTTTTTTTTTTGGTTCTCTGACAAACCGATCCAGATCATCTTACGAACCGGTTCATAGGTTTGGTAGGTTCGTTGGAATGAGACACGCACGCGATGAAGAATCTTAAGTAGTCTATGCAAAATCGTAGCGAATGTAGCATGTAAGTGACGAATCCGCTGAAACTGGATAGCCTTACGCTTTTGCACCGATCACTTAAGTTTCTTCATCGCGCGCGTGTCTCATTCCAGGATTTCGGATTAAGTTGACCGCGCCCAAAAAGCTGAAACAAAAAGTCGGTTCGGCAGGTTCGTCGCCTATTTTAGTTCGTCGTGTAACCCCGCGCTCGTGTCGCGCAGGGTTCTATTGCCTTCGTCGACCAGAGAGTAGAAGCTTGGTTTGAGCTCCAACTCTCTCGTAGTGTTTGGTCCTGCCAGCCACCTAGCATTCCGAATATGTCCACCACCAAGCTTTCCTAAGTTACGACCTCCATTTTTTTTCTTGATTGTTTTCTTACTGGATCCATGCGTTTTTGGACAAATTTATATATAGAAACCACCATGGTCTCTTAGAATCGTCATCACCTTTGCATAACCTTTACATTGAAACACCTGCAGCTTGCTCTCAAAACCGAGATTTACCAACGAAGGAGGATTCTTAGAATTTGAAGGTGTGTTGTAGGTCAACATTGCGGTTAGAGCTGCGCGTCTTCCTAGATTTGGGTTCACAATCCAGTCCAAATGGAGAATGGCCACCATGAAAAAAAAAAGCCTAGAAACTTGTGACTACATTGGAAGTGAATAAACAAACCGAACTGGTCCGATTCGTCTGAACCAGTTCTCTTCGATAAGCAAAATTCCGAACCACGAATTTGGTACACATCATCCACTCCCTCGATTTCGGACTGCCTTCCTCTTGTTCTTGTTTTTTCCTGCTTCCCACATGGCCGGCCTCAAATTGATTTTTCTTCCCTTCAAATCCTCCCCACCCCCTCGTCGCTCCCCCGTTTCTCAGGTGTTCTCATCAGTGGGCGATGTGAACGTGTCTCACGTCATCCACTCCCTCGGTTTCGGAGTGCCCTATCCCGGCCGCCTCAACCCTCTGGACGGATTTGTCCGCATCCTGCCGCCTCTCAAGGAAGGGGAGGACCCTGCCAGATCCAGTGGCACTTTCAAGTACTTCCTCAAGGTGAACCATCTCCACCGCACTGCACTACTCCATTCCACCCTGCCGCTGCTGAAGGAAGGGGAAGACCCTGCTTGATTTAGTGGAATTTTCAACTACAAGAAACTCTCAGAGCTCACTGATGTTCAAGCACCTCACCACACTCCAAGAATACTACAAGTACCTCACCACACTCCACGACACTCTACACCACGACCTGCCCTTCAGTGGCATCGTAGAGTAGTTTTTCTCACAGCATACTCTTCACTACATTTCCAGGAAGGTACATGAGAGCCAACCCCCAAGTCCCTTTTCAGGGAATTCTAGTGGGGTGCAAGCGGTGCAGCATGTCTAATTGCTCTTCACCCACGTGTCCCCTCAGGTGGTGCCGACGCGCTTCCGCTTCTGGCACGGGGGGACAGTGAAGACGAACCAGTACTCCATCAGTGAATACTTCACTCCCTCCTCGCCACAGTCCAACGCCCTGCCAGGTATGTGCATGCACACTGCAGTCCAACGCCCTGCCAGGTATGTGCATGCACACTGCAGGTGCACCGTGCACGCACGCACTGCCAGCCAGGTATGCGCATGCGTATGTGCCCTCAGGTAGTGCTCTCTCACTTCCACTCCAACCGTAAATAATTCACGCCCTCCTCACTGCAGTTACTGCCAGGCATGCGCATGCACACTGCCAGGCATGCACACGCACACTGCCAGGCATGCGCATGCACACTGCCAGGTATGCGCATGCACACTGCCAGGTATGCACACGCACACTGTCAGGCATGCACACGCACACTGCCAGGTATGCAGCCTCCATTTCTCTCTCCACTTCTCTCACCCCTTCCACTCCTCTCATCCCTTCCACCCCTCTTGCCCTTTCCACCCCTTGCACCTCTTTCACCTCTCTTCACAGCCGTCTACAACTTCCCCGTCGCCCATCCAAGCATCTCAGCTTCCTTGCCTCCTCCCCCACTTTCCCCACCCTACATTTTCCCACTTTTCTCCTACATCACCTCTGCGTCCCCAACATCCTCCAGCCCTCTTGAACACTTCCTACCACTTCCTATCACTCCCTACCTAAGTTGGGCTCTTACGGATTTCCAGGCATCGTAAACGTAAATTTCGCGAAATGTTACGATTTCGATTTCGTACGTTAAGTTACGCGTAAGTCTGACGCGGGCAGCGGAAAAAAAAATTCGCGGCCCGTTTTTTTTCATCCAGGAGTATGGCTTACGATAGAACCAAGTACAACTAATCCGAGCCTTCTGCAATAGCGAACTAACTAGAAACGCAGCGCCTTTAAAGTCCCTAACGCGATCTGATTCTGTGCTGTCTTGGTGGTGGACTACTATGTGAAAATATCGAGCCGCTAGGTTGAGATCGATTAGGTCGATAGAGTTTCCTAGGCTGCGAGGGCGACAAGACGACCTTGTGCTAGGGAGGAGGGTGGTTTGTTGGGTTCGGGATTAGGACGCGCGCTTTGCGAAATTTTGTAGGGAGATTCGTCGGGTTTGTGATTGGCGTACGTGCGTGGCGAAATCTGTAGGTGTGGATGTTGGCGAAGTTCAAGTTAGGGTTCGCGACTGCTACAATTTCTGTTCGGCTGTTTGGCAAAGCCGCTATGGTGAAAACGAAAAAAAGTGTAACAGCGAATCCAACCAATCCTAGGTCTTGGCGAATCAGCAAAGCCAGAAATATTGCGTGACCCCACTTTGTCGAAACTGGATCTGAATCCAGAATCCAGGTTCCCTAAGTAGAGCAGAACTTCGTATTCAGCGACCTCTTAGCTCTAGTTCCTCGACCTCCGTAACGTATGGCTTCACATGCTAATCCTAGCGAGCACACCGTTTGGAAGCATTTTAAATTACCAGATGGGGCTCCATCAGATTCGGCGGAAAGGCAATGCAAGTTTTGCAATCATTCGTGGTCCCTTAACGTTACTCGTGCGCAGGCGCATATCCTTGGTAATAGCAAGGACATTAGAGCATGCAAGAAAGTGTCAGCAGAGGTTAAGGCTGAAGTGCGTAAAGCGGCATCAGCCAAGTCTAGTGAGCAGGAAGCTAAGCGGATCGCATCGAAGCGCACGATGGACGCGTTTAGCAAGGAGACAACCGGGATCGTTGCTAGTTCTAGTACACCAAGCAAGCGTCCGGCAAATCAGAAAACGTTGCTCGAATGTCGGCCTACAGGTGCAAATCTCGCAAGCGCACAGCAGGCGGTTGCAACGTTTTTCCACGTTTGCCGCATTGCCCCCAATGTAGCGGAGCACGCCGCTTTCAAGTCTATGTTGAGGAAAGTGGCTGCAGCTGGTCCTGGATTTCCAACACCTACTCGGAAGCTGATCATGGGTCGCCTCTTGCAAGATTGCAAGGATACCACGGACGAAGCGTTGAAACCGATCAAGGACTCATGGAGTGACATTGGTGTGAGCATTGCTACTGACGGATGGACAGATATCTCAAGCCGCCCACAGATGAATTTCCTAGCAGTGAACACGAAGGGAGCTGTCTTCTTGTTCGGCGTTGATTGCGGTACAAAGAAGAAGGGCGGCGAGTACATTGCGGAACACCTTAAGAGAGCCATCGGCATGGTTGGAGCGGAGAATGTGGTGGGGCTGTTAATGGATGGCGCAAGCAACAACATTAGCGCAGCCAACATCGTGAAGGCCCAATTTCCAAAGGTGGAATACATCCGATGCGCGGCTCACAGCCTCAACAATCTGATGAAAGACATTGGGGGGCGCAAATGGGCTGCCAAAATCATTGGCAAGGCGCAAGACCTGATTTCGGTTTTGAAGAAGGCACATTGGATCACCGGCTACTTTCGTGAGCAAAAATCTCTCATGCTTCTTAAGCCCGCTGGCACCCGCTTTGGAACTAACTATATAGCGCTGCAACGTTTGCTCGATGTGCGTCCTGTACTTGATCAAATGGTGCTGACCACAGGGTGGGCTGCCCAGGCACATGGGAAGAAGCGGATGGTTGCGGCACGTGGCGTGATTAGGGATGACCAATTTTGGGAGGGGGTGGAGATGGTGGTACGTGTCTTGAAGCCGATTTACATGCTCTTGAGGGCGGTTGATGGAAATCAGGAAGTAATGGGGAAGATTTATGACATGATGCTGGATTTAGAGGAGAGTATGAAGACGGCCTGCAGCTGCCTGAGGAGCAAGGAGAGCAAGTGGATTTTGGGGGCGGTGAGGTGTCGTTGGAATGGGAACATCAACTGCGCCTTACACGTGGTGGGTCGGATATTGTATCCACCGAATCAATACGAGAAGATCTTCGGCAGGGACGTCGAGTGCACTAGGATCTTCAAGCGGGTCATAAGGGATTACTATAAGGGGGAGTATGTGGTGGATAAGGACGGCACGAAGTTTCCAATGGCGACCATTGTTGAGAGGGAGATTCTTATTTATGTGAAGGGAGAAGGGGCCATTGGTGAGCCGAAGGCAAGGGCAGATCTCGAGCTCGTGAGGGTGGGCAAGTTGGACCCAACTCAGTGGTGGGAGTTCAATGGGGCAGAGCAGTGCCCCAACCTTGCTAAACTGGCTTGCATGGTTCTCAAGCAGTGCGTTTCCGCTTCCGCATGTGAAACCAATCGGGGGGTTTGGGAATCCATCCACACCGCTCGGCGAAACCGCCTAGGACCCAAGCGCCTCGAAGACCTTGTCTACGTGACACACAATTACAACACGGTGTGTAAGGTGCATGAGGAGCATGAGAAGCGGTTCTTCAAGGCTGGCCACGAATCAAGTCAGATTGAGGAACAGCAGCAAGATTCTTATGAACCGCTCGACGATGATGACATCCCCGATGATGCTTATATGGAAGATGAAGAGGAGGAGGAGGATAAGGAGGAGGAAGAGGAGGAGGAGGATAAGGAGGAGGAAGAGGAGGAGGAGGATAAGGAGGAGGAAGAGGAGGAGGAGGATGGAGGAGGAAAGGGGGGGGAGGAGGAGGAGGAGGAGGAGGAGGAGGAGGAGGAGGAGGAGGAGGAGGAGGAGGAGGAGGAGGAGGAGGAGGAGGAGGAGGAGGAGGAGGAGGAGGAGGAGGATGAAGAGGAAGAAGAGTAGGTTGAGTAGTAGGGAGAGAAGACGGTGGATTAGGAGCAGCAGGGGGGAGGACAACCATGGGGAAGAGATAGGGGGATTATATTAACTGTTTTCCAAGTTTCCATTATTTTCCTTCCTTCACTATTGACATACGGATACAACATGAATCTCATGAGTATTCTGGTCGTTTTTCTTCTCTTCGGGCAGCCCAAAAAAGTTTTCAGCTGACCGTAACCGTAAGGCCTATTCAGGGCGACCGTTCGTAAACGTAAAAATCGTCGTAAACGTCCGAAAACGTAAGGCCCCGTAAACGTAAGATCCAACTTAGCTCCCTACCACACCACAACCACACCCTAGTACTTCCTGTTCGCCTCACCCTAATTCTCCCTGCCAAGCCCCCCTTCATTTCCATGTCCCGCTCCCCACCTCCCCCTCTTCCCCACATCTTCGAGCGGTGTACTTCCTGTATGACCTCCCGCCCATAGCAGTGAGCATCACCAAGTCACACCGCAGCTTCCTTGCTGTCTTCTCTACTTGCCCCACTCCGGAACTCTCCGCATCTCCACTCTCTCCCCCTCCCCTCTGCAGCGGTCTACTTCCTGTACGACCTCTCGCCCATAGCAGTGAGCATCACGGAGTCGCATCGCAGCTTCCTTGCTGTCTTCCCTACTTGCCCCACTCCAGAACTCTCCGCATCTCCTCTCTCCCCCTCCCCTCTGCAGCGGTCTACTTCCTGTATGACCTCTCACCCATAGCAGTGAGCATCACGGAGTCGCATCGCAGCTTCTTCCACTTCCTCACTCGCCTCTGCGCTGTGCTGGGCGGCACCTTCGCCCTCACAGGTGGGTGGTGCAGACCAACAGAGCACCATCAAGGTGTCCGATCGAGCACCAAGTAGGTGTGGCAGGGTGGTAGTGATGCCAGGGGCCGGGAGGTCCGGGGCAAGAGAGAGGGACAGAGGGACATGATACGAGCACTCAAACATGCGCCATCAAGGTGCTTTCTAAGAGCTTTCCACCTTGGTGGTGCTCCATTGTTCTCTGCACCACCCACCCGTGCGTGAGGGCAAACACCCAAGGATTTTTCATACAAGCATTCGAACAACTTCCAAGGTGTCTTCCCTAAGAGTTACAACCACATACTAAACCCATGCTCACCAATCGCCCTCGCCCACCTTCCTCCCTGCCCTCTCATGCCACCCCGCCAAGTACCCTGTCATTCCGTCCCTCTCATTCTCCCTGTATTGTCCTGCCTTGGGCATCCCCCCAATCCCGCCCCCGGGCATGCTGGATCGCTGGGTGTACAGCCCTGCTACAGCTCATCAATCGCCCGCGTCCCTGCCCTCTCATTCCATTGCCCCAACTCTCATTCCATTGCCCCAACTCTCATTCCATTGCCCCAACTCTCATTCCATTGCCCCAACTCTCATTCCATTGCCCCAACTCTCATTCCATTGCCCCAACTCTCATTCCATTGCCCCAACTCTCATTTCCATTGCCCCAACTCTCATTCCATTGCCCCAACTCTCATTCCATTGCCCCAACTCTCATTCCATTGCCCCAACTCTCATTCCATTGCCCCAACTCTCATTCCATTGCCCCAACTCTCATTCCATTGCCCCAACTCTCATTCCATTGCCCCAACTCTCATTCCATTGCCCCAACTCTCATTCCATTGCCCCAACTCTCATTCCATTGACCCAACTCTCATTCCATTGCCCCAACTCTCATTCCATTCTTGCCCCAACTCTCATTCCATTGCCCCAACTCTCATTCCATTGCCCCAACTCTCATTCCATTGCCCAACTCTCATTCCATTGCCCCAACTCTCATTCCATTGCCCCAACTCTCATTCCATTGCCCCAACTCTCATTCCATTGCCCCAACTCTCATTCCATTGCCCCAACTCTCATTCCATTGCCCCAACTCTCATTCCATTGCCCCCAACTCTCATTCCATTGCCCAACTCTCATTCATTGCCCAACTCTCATTCCATTGCCCCAACTCTCATTCCAGTGCCCCAACTCTCATTCCATTGCCACCAACTTCTTCATTCCATTGCCCCAACTCTCATTCCATTGCCCCAACTCTCATTCCATTGCCCCAACTCTCATTCCATTGCCCAACTCTCATTCCATTGCCCCAACTCTCATTCCATTGCCCCAACTCTCATTCCATTCCCCAACTCTCATTCCATTACCCCAACTCTCATTCATTGCCCCAACTCTCATTCCATTGCCCCAACTCTCATTCCATTGCCCCAACTCTCATTCCATTGCCCCAACTCTCATTCCATTGCCCCAACTCTCATTCCATTGCCCCAACTCTCATTCCATTGCCCAACTCTCATTCCATTGCCCCAACTCTCATTCCATTGCCCCAACTCTCATTCCATTGCCCCAACTCTCATTCCATTGCCCCAACTCTCATTCCATTGCCCCAACTCTCATTCCATTGCCCAACTCTCATTCCATTGCCCCAACTCGTCATTCCATTGCCCCAACTCTCATTCCATTGCCCCAACTCTCATTCCCATTGCCCCACTCTCATTCCATTGCCCCAACTCTCATTCCATTGCCCCAACTCTCATTCCATTGCCCAACTCTCATTCCATTGCCCCAACTCTCATTCCATTGCCCCAACTCTCATTCCATTGCCCCAACTCTCATTCCATTGCCCCACTCTCATTCCATTGCCCCAACTCTCATTCCATTGCCCAACTCTCAATTCATTGCCCCAACTCTCATTCCATTGCCCCAACTCTCATTCCATTGCCCCAACTCTCATTCCATGGCCCCAACTCTCATTCCATTGCCCCAACTCTCATTCCATTGCCCCAACTCTCATTCCATTGCCCCAACTCTCATTCCATTGCCCCAACTCTCATTCCATTGCCCCAACTCTCATTCCATTGCCCCAACTCTCATTCCATTGCCCCAACTCTCATTCCATTGCCCCAACTCTCATTCCATTGCCCCAACTCTCATTCCATTGCCCCAACTCTCATTCCATTGCCCCAACTCTCATTCCATTGCCCCAACTCTCATTCCATTGCCCCAACTCTCATTCCATTGCCCCAACTCTCATTCCATTGCCCCAACTCTCATTCCATTGCCCCAACTCTCATTCCATTGCCCCAACTCTCATTCCATTGCCCCAACTCTCATTCCATTGCCCCAACTCTCATTCCATTGCCCCAACTCTCATTCATTGCCCCAACTCTCATTCCATTGCCCCAACTCTCATTCCATTGCCCCAACTCTCATTCCATTGCCCCAACTCTCATTCCATTGCCCCAACTCTCATTCCATTGCCCCAACTCTCATTCCATTGCCCCAACTCTCATTCCATTGCCCCAACTCTCATTCCATTGCCCCAACTCTCATTCCATTGCCCCAACTCTCATTCCATTGCCCCAACTCTCATTCCTCATTCCATTGCCCCAACTCTCATTCCATTGCCCCAACTCTCATTCCATTGCCCCAACTCTCATTCCATTGCCCCAACTCTCATTCCATTGCCCCAACTCTCATTCCATTGCCCCAACTCTCATTCCATTGCCCCAACTCTCATTCCATTGCCCCAACTCTCATTCCATTGCCCCAACTCTCATTCCATTGCCCCAACTCTCATTCCATTGCCCCAACTCTCATTCCATTGCCCCAACTCTCATTCCATTGCCCCAACTCTCATTCCATTGCCCCAACTCTCATTCCATTGCCCCAACTCTCATTCCATTGCCCCAACTCTCATTCCATTGCCCCAACTCTCATTCCATTGCCCCAACTCTCATTCCATTGCCCCAACTCTCATTCCATTGCCCCAACTCTCATTCCATTGCCCCAACTCTCATTCCATTGCCCCAACTCTCATTCCATTGCCCCAACTCTCATTCCATTGCCCCAACTCTCATTCCATTGCCCCAACTCTCATTCCATTGCCCCAACTCTCATTCCATTGCCCCAACTCTCATTCCATTGCCCCAACTCTCATTCCATTGCCCCAACTCTCATTCCATTGCCCCAACTCTCATTCCATTGCCCAACTCTCATTCCATTGCCCCAACATCTCATTCCATTGCCCCAACTCTCATTCCATTGCCCCAACTCTCATTCCATTGCCCCAACTCTCATTCCATTGCCCCAACTCTCATTCCATTGCCCCAACTCTCATTCCATTGCCCCAACTCTCATTCCATTGCCCCAACTCTCATTCCATTGCCCCAACTCTCATTCCATTGCCCCAACTCTCATTCCATTGCCCCAACTCTCATTCCATTGCCCCAACTCTCATTCCATTGCCCCAACTCTCATTCCATTGCCCCAACTCTCATTCCATTGCCCCAACTCTCATTCCATTGCCCCAACTCTCATTCCATTGCCCCAACTCTCATTCCATTGCCCCAACTCTCATTCCATTGCCCCAACTCTCATTCCATTGCCCCAACTCTCATTCCATTGCCCCAACTCTCATTCCATTGCCCCAACTCTCATTCCATTGCCCCAACTCTCATTCCATTGCCCCAACTCTCATTCCATTGCCCCAACTCTCATTCCATTGCCCCAACTCTCATTCCATTGCCCCAACTCTCATTCCATTGCCCCAACTCTCATTCCATTGCCCCAACTCTCATTCCATTGCCCCAACTCTCATTCCATTGCCCCAACTCTCATTCCATTGCCCCAACTCTCATTCCATTGCCCCAACTCTCATTCCATTGCCCCAACTCTCATTCCATTGCCCCAACTCTCATTCCATTGCCCCAACTCTCATTCCATTGCCCCAACTCTCATGTCCTGCCCCACCCCTCACTTTCTCCCTTGTCGTTCCGGCCCAACCCCCACCAGGCATGCTGGATCGCTGGGTGTACAGCCTGTTGCAACTCATCAATCGCCCTCGCCATGCGTCCTGCCCTCCTCTCTCATGCCATGCTGCCCTCCTCTCTCACCCTGCACCTCCCTGCCATGCCAATCCAATCCCCCCACCAGGCATGCTGGATCGCTGGGTGTACAGCCTGTTGCAGCTCATCGACCGCCCTCGTCCCTGCCCTTTCTCATGCTATCCTGCCAAGTATCATGTGCTTCTGCCCTCCTCTCTCACCCTGCACCTCCCTGCCCCGGCTTCTCCCCAATACCCCCACCAGGCATGCTGGATCGCTGGGTGTACAGCCTGTTGCAGCTCATCGACCGCCCTCGTCCCTGCCCTTTCTCATGCTATCCTGCCAAGTATCATGTGCTTCTGCCCTCCTCTCTCACCCTGCACCTCCCTGCCCCGGCTTCTCCCCAATACCCCCACCAGGCATGTTAGATCGCTGGGTGTACAGCCTGCTGCAGCTCATCAACCGCCCTCGCCATGCCTATGGGAAAGCTACTCGCCTGCACTAGCTGTGGTAATCAGTGAAGGTGTATCGGGACGTGTAATGAGATGTGTAACGGGATGAGTAACAGGATGTGTAACCAGAAGATGAGCACGTGAGTAAAATGGCCTGATGCTGAGATTCCATGGACAGAGGACCCTGGGGCTGGGGTCCTAAAAAGAAGGTGCCACACCGCTGCAGTTCACCCCAAGTTTCTCCCTACCACATATAAGACCCCTGGGCCTTCTGTCCGGGAGCTTACGGTACAACAATGATGGCATACCACCTTATTTCTGTGTGGTGTGGTGTCCCAACATCACATGGGAGGAGTTGGTATGTGCCAGGCTGCCTGCTGCCATGGTGATGACGTTAGGGTCAGATGTGAGAGGTAGATAAAAGTAGACCGGGCAAGGAAAGAAAATGGTCACATAGTACTACAGGGTGCTTAGGAGGGTGTTATGTGTGTTGGGCTGAGATAAGCCCTTAGGATCTTTGCAGGGGTGAACTCTGGGTAGGACTAATGTACGGTAATAGCGGAAGCGTTTTAATGGAGAGTTGTGAACCACCTTGCGCTAGTATGTGAGGGCAAAGTAAGTTGATTAAAACGAGATACAAGATTATATAAGAGTACAAGGAATACGAAGAGATACGGTTGTAACTACTTTTGTTATGAATGAACTTGCAGAGTGCGCAGTAAAACGAATATCGAGAATGATTGAGTACTGAATTACTGAATGAAGAGACAATGAAGTAGGGAGGCCTACGTAGGGGAAAGCTAGCTAGGTGGGGGGTTCGGGATGGGATGGCTCGGTGATGGTTGCGATTGGAGCGGAGGCCGACTCGGGGGTGGTTCGGTGCGACGAAATAGGCAAGACAGGTTCGTCGCGTGACCCTCGGGTTGGCCTCGCTAACGAGTGCCTCAGTAAGGATTCTGTAAATCCTTACACTCTCCCACCTTCTAAATAAGGCAGTCCTGTACTGAAAACGGACCCCACACTAGCAAGGATGCCGTAGATCTCCCCTTCAGCTGAATTCGACGGCCGAAATGCCTTCGATAATATTTTTGAAAAGGTTGGAAGGTAGGCCGTCGATGTAGTCCAATTTCGATTTGACGGTCGACGATGAACTAGCCCAAAATAAAGTTGAATTTGGAATGTGGGCCGTCGATGAATCAGATGTGGATCTGACGGTCGAAGACTGACGCGAGATTGGAGGGAACCTGCTGACGCGAAAATTCAATCGCGATGTTGCAGAAAACCGTCGATCGTGAAGCAGCGATCGCAGTCGTCCGTCGTGCTGCTGCATTCTGACAAAGTCAGAAATTGTGCCGAGAAAACGCCGAGGAAAGAAATAGTGCAAAGCACTTTCTCCCCCCCCCCCCCCCCCCCCCCCCCCCCCTTCAAGAAATGCTCCACAGAAAAGTTTCGCAGCTGCGCCGAGATGAAAACCAACAAAACCAGGTGTGAAGTCCCACTGAGAAGACTGGTGAGCGTAGAGACCCAGGTGAAAGTTGCGTCGCTGTGGAAACTCGATGACGAATCCCAGGTGTTACGTGCCCAAAATTTCTTCGAGGGCGAACCCGAAGATGTAGACCGTAAACTGAAACTAAAATTATCGAATACTCGAACTGAACCGTTTTGTCTTCACGTCGCCAGAATCAGCCGATATCTTCAGCAGTTGCAGCTGGCAGCTCCTGACGTGGTTGAGAACTAATGCAGTTGTCGTGGGCGGGTCGAAGGTGAGTTGTCGGTAGCAGAGTTGAAAATGGTTTCTCCGAGAGTTTTGTCGTAATGCGTCGATGATTCTTGGGCGGGGATGAAATTTCACAGCTGTCGCTCCCCCCCCCCCCTTCACTGTTGCTGCCGGCCTTCTTCAGTTCGTCGTAAGTCCTTCGTACCCCTGAAAAAGTCTGTGTAAATCTCGCGGTGCTGCCCCCCTCCGTTTGACGCGCGCGTTTAACCAAACGCCGCAACTCCTCCGAAATTGTCGGCGCACCTTGCCGTAAAACCGGGAAGTCCCCACGTAAACACTCCGAAATTGTTGCTCGAATCAAACCCCGTAATGCCGCAGTTGCAGTTGCAGTTCGCCTCCGAAAATCTCGGACGTGCAATAGCCGCCCACTCGGTCACCATCAGTTTCCGTCGGTTACCCGACCCCAGTATGTGGGTTCAATCGAGAACCGGGGACTGCCCTGGGCTATTCCGAGACCGAATTTCACGGAGCCTAGAGGCATCAACGCCGTTGACTCCGTCGTCAAAACCGCTCCCGTCGATGTCGCTTAACAAAAAGTCCTGTTTCTCCCACCAGCGCTTTGCAGATGTTTCACCACATCGCTCGTCGCCGGTCGATCAATCCCGAAGCTACGACTGCTCCCACGCTCCCCTTTTGCTGAAGAATTTCCCGAGGTGTGCGTTTTAAACACCGGGGGTCCTAGGTCTCCTCGCCGTTGTGTTTCTTGCCAGGCAACTTCGAGAAGTGCCCTTCAGGCAAAGTCCCCCAACGACTCAACCGCACTCCAAGAAGCGAAGAAATACCCGCAGCTTCATAATTTTTTGGTCGTTTCACCCCCCGACAATTCCGCTTCCCGCCGTTCACCAAGCGTCAGCATTTTTCGGATGAGGTATAGTCGGTGTTGCCCGCACGAACCCAGCCACGGTGGAGAAGAAAAGTCTATCGGAGTCAGGGGCCCTTAGTTAAAAGGAAATAATTCCCAACCGCTTTGAAGCCCACCGTGCCGTCGCGCCACTAAAACTCCACAGCTCCCGGTTCCAGCTCCGCCGCTGCGCCGTCACCTCGTGTAGACGCCCGGGTCAAGAGAAACCAGCGAACTGCACCATTGTTGTCATACGGCGCCCCGATTTTTTCGCGTGCTGTTTCACCCAGTCCGCTTTTGTCGGAGTAGAACTGTTCCGCAACTCCACCTTTTTTTGTTTTTTTCTGTACAGCTGTTAAACGAGCACCAATCCCGGTACCTTTAACCAGCACAGGGTAGGCCCGTGTTCACCCCCGTTATTCGGCCAAGCAAGTTGACTGCATGAGTCAGAACTAGAAACTTGGTGGGGATGGTGAGGTTCGGGCGACGGAAGGTCACAGATCGTTCACACCGGCTTTTAACCTGCCCTTCACGCCGTTCTTCAACCCCCGCTTAACCGTCGGGCAGTTTCTTCTCGTGTGTCCCGGCGGCCTGTACCACTCTCCTCCGTAACTGTCGGCGTGGTACCTTGAACACCGTTTAATCGTGGGCTGTTGAGGCTGTCCCCGAAAATGACTTCCTTACAGGAAATCCACTCTCAAAATTGTCGGCCAGCTGTCAACAGTACCAGACACGCAGCGTCATCCGAGTGTTCTTCGGGGTGTATTGGCCTGAATTGCCCTCGCCGCCTGCGTCCCACTCTTCTTGAGTGCGATTTAGCCACTCCGTTTTTTGTAGCAACCCGTAAGTGTCGGCGGGTCTGAAGTTCCCGTCTGTCCACGTGCGCTCCTGCCGAAATCTTCGATGACGTGCCCGCCATGCAGTAAAAGCCGCTGCACTTCAGGTCGGGCAGGACGACAGTTGACCCCGCATTATTCGGGCAATTCGCATGTCGTCTCTCCTCGTCCACCGATATTTTCGGACGCAAAACTCCATTTGCGCCTGTCGAGTTCCCTAGCCGACTTTTTCTCCACAGTTGCTCCGAAATAATCGCCCACAGTGACGCTCGTCTCTTGTCGCCAGCTGCCAAAACACATTCCGCGTCATGCGTGCAAAATGACGACGAGCCACCGTCGCAAGTTGCCGCTTCAGACGAACTCCGAAATTGTCGTGCAGCTGTTGACCCAGGTCCGACGGCGTCAACTGCCACTCACGTGACGACTTCGAGGCCGTTCATGCAGATGCCAACGCAGGTCCGTTGAGGCCAGCTACTACACGAATAAACCTCCGAAATCGTCGGAAATCGCAGCGGAAATTACTCACATAAACGTCGCGACATCTACTGTTGCCCGTTGCCCGGGGGGAGGGAGGCCACGGTCGATCGCGACCGTTCGAGGCAAGGATCTGGCGGTGCCGAAGGAGTACCCGTTAAACCATGGCCGCGAGGAGCAACTAACTCGTTCTCCTGGCCGGCCTACGCAACTCCTGGACCCCAAGACATCCTTCCTCGTCCCCCCCCCCCCCCCCCACCCCCCCCCCCCCGAGGGGTGCTACACTCTAAAAAGCGGGGTAGGCTAGGAAAGTAGCTCTGATACCAGGTGTTATGTATGAACTTGCAGAGTGCGCAGAATATCGAATAACGAGAATGATTGAGTACTGAATTACTGAATGAAGAAACAATGAAGTAAGGAGGCCTAAATAGGGGAAAAGCTAGCTAGGCGGGGGGTTCGGGATGGGATGGCTCGGTGATGGTTGCGATTGGAGCGGAGGCCGACTCGGGGGTGGTTCGGTGCGACGAAATAGGCAAGACAGGTTCGTCGCGTGACCCTCGGGATGGCCTCGCTAACAAGTGCCTCAGTAAGGATTCTGTAAATCCTTACAACTTTACTGTTGCTGTTGCGGTTCGATACAGTGATGACTCGGGCAACTGCTTTGTAGCGAGTCAGTTGCGTGTCCTTGCTGTCGCGCTGTACTTGTCAGGTCAAAGGTTGCTGACCTTTGACTTTCGCGTAACCTCCAACAGTTACTTTCAACCTCCGAGGGTTGACTCGCCGGTGTTTCGATATGCTTCGCTTCATTTGTGCCTTAGTGTTTCGACACGACAGAGGCGCTTAAGATCGATTGTTTCCAACACTCCCCTTCGCTTCTGGAGTGTCGCTGCTGGTGACGTGGCTCTGTCCAGTCAGCAGCATGCAGTACTCGAACTTCTGCTTTCCGAGCTTCTTGGTCAGGTAGTCAGCTGCCATCTCGGACGTGGGGCAGTATGACAGCTCGAGCCTCCCTTTCTCGATCTCGTCCTTCACGAAGAAATATCGCAGGGCTATCAGAAACAAGAAGTGAATGAACTAGACAACATGGCAGTACAAGTATGAAACCCTAAAAGTTGTGTACCCCGT